ATAAGAAAGGATTTGCCAAAATTCGCATTTTAAATAGGTGCTCAAACAGGGACATTGAGATTCACGATGGAAATTGGAAATTTTATTTTTATTTATTAATAGTTGCCATTTTTTACAGTCTACAGTAGAAATTAGCATTTATTTATTAGTTGCCATTGGTTATTCGGGCAGATCAGGTACAAGCTTGCATCAAATCAAATTATTGAACATTGCCTACCAGGGTGGCTGAGTTGCACTTACACCCAAAAGGAGTTCAACAATCATAATTTTTTTAAGAGTTGAGATTTTTTACGAGCACCCAAATTTATTATATTGATCCACCGTATTATATCAAAATAAACTTCGTTTAACTTTGATACTTTAGAGTTAAATCATACACTTCCATACAAACAGCACGGGGTCCGCGATCTACCGCAGGTAGATTGCCTACCTGATAATGTACTGCTGTGATTCAGAATTTTTATTCCGGGCAACGGAAAAGATAAGATAAATTTTGAACACCATACACCGAATATTGAATAACGAATTGAACAAAGTTTGAGTCATATTGAGTTGATACATTTAACGGGCGACGAAGTGCACGGGATCAGCTAGTATAATTAATAATTATATAAGTAACTTTTGATTAAAATATTTGTAATGTTATAATAGTCTATAATTTGTACCTATTGTTTACAGAATAGATTAAATTTAATCTATTTTATGGTTAAACTACTATCAGGTACAAGTTTTATGTATAATCTATATGAACCCTACTCTAAAGACTACCCCAAAATCAATTGGCTATTCTAAGATGAAATATATTAAAGTGTATATTATTCAATTATGTATTATTAATTTACACTGTAATTCATATTATGTATTTTTTCATACTTAAAATGTTACTAACTTGTACCTAGTATACTATTTTTATTAGCCATTATCACCGGATTAGGTCAGGTTAGCAAAACATCAAACAAATGTTAATATTATAATAAATAATATGTAATATATTATTAAAAAACTAATAATTAATAATTAAAAATAATAATATAAACTTGAAAAAAAATGTATGATAATTTACCAAATATGTGTTCAATTAAACTTCTCATTAAATAAGGATTACTTATTACAAATTAAATATTTATTATAAATGTACATTCAATTGTTAATAATTTTTTTTTCAGAGGACATTTGTCCACTCGAATTGTGTGGTCTATTCTTACTGAGATACTTTGTTTTGTTTTTACTGTTGCATTGGTCATGATTAATACCTCTAAAATACCAACTCTGTTTTTCTGGTCAACTCTGTGCAATATAGTATTGTTGAATATGGCAAATGGTATTTACAACAATTCTGTTTTTGGGATAGCAGCTAAACTCCCTGCAAAATATATCGGTGCTGTAATTCTTGGTACAAATTTAAGTGGTACATTTACATCTATCGCTAATATTGCATCAATTTCAATAACTCCAGATGCTCAAATTGCTGCTATATATTATTTTACCACTGCACTGTTTGTGTTGATAACCTGTTTTAATACATATTTTGCATTGCCATTAAATGTAAGACAATTATACTTTTGAGTATAAATACGCAAACAACAAAATACATTTATTTATATGTATATTGATGCTTTTAGAGATTCTATAAGTATCATGAACTCATTTATCAAAGACAAATTGAAAATAAACACTCAAAACAAAGCAGAGAACACGATAAAGTTCCTTATTGGTGTATTTTTAAACAGGCCAGTCCACAATTAATTAATATATATTTTGTATTCTTCGTTACTCTTTCAATATTTCCCGCAGTTCATTCAGGTATAATAAATGTTTATTTCAGTACTTACCTTGTTAAATAAACCATAGCATATAATTACTTATAATTATGTAACCACTTCTATATTATAGATATTAAAATGTCAAGTAAAGATTTTATTTTTGGAGAAACATATTATACCAGCGTAATGTGTTTTTTGACATTCAATGTAAGCGCACTTATTGGAACATATATTTCTACATTGGTTTCATGGGTAAATTTTAATTACATTTTCATTGCTGTATAATTAATTTAGTATAATATTATGAATTTATTTTATTTTAGCCAAAACCAAAATGGCTTTTTATTCCTGTGGTACTGAGAGTTATTCTTATTCCATTGTTTCTCATTTGTAATTACCACCCAATTGGTGTTACAAGAATAATGCCAGTAGTAATAGAAAGTGATTATGTATTTTGGGCATTAGGAACATTTCTCGGATTATCTAGTGGTTATTACAGTTCCGTAGCAATGATGTATACTCTAAGGTAAAAATAATTTCTCGTAATACTTAACTAAATACCTATATTTAAAATTAAATAATATTTGTGTATGGGTATTGACTAAATTTAAATTAATTTTAAATATTATAGAGCTAATAATACAGGATAAAGGACATATATGTCATTTTTTTAAAGTGTATCCACATGTTAGATCCTCAAGTGGGTACTGTCTACAGATGTTGTCAACCACTTGTTTCTATATTAATTGCTCAAGCTTATAAAATAACAATTGATGGACACTTGAGTAACAATCTCTTATACCTTATAGCGTAGGTCTTGATTTCTCAGCTGTAAAGGTGCTACATTTTTAAGACTTATCTTATTTTATTACAACTCCCATTAAAAGCTCCACCAACTGCCTTACACATATATTAATTTTATACTAATAAACTCTTGTTTTTTCCAGCTGTGTTGAACCAAGGTACAGTGGCATTGCAGGTATGTTTGGAGCTGCTGTTTTGATCACTGGTGTTTGTGGTGGGATACTCTTCGGAATGATAACACCATTTATTGTAGAACACTTATCTATATAAAAATATATTAAAATGTTTAAAAACTTTTTCATATTTAACAATAGACTTATTTTTATGTATATTGTATTATTTTACTACTATAACGAATCAGACATTGATAATAAATATGTTAATGTGATATAGATACAGAGATAAAAATATTTTTCATATGAGGGTACCAAAATATACAGTCCTACATTATTTACCTACCTACCTACCTACTTTATACTTTTCTTACCGTCCATGATATTTTAATATATTTAAAAAATAATGTTTAACCAATATTTTGGGTGAAAATTGTCATAACTTTTTAGATACTCTCTGTAATGGTTTAAAAGTTCAAATGTTGACAAAATTAGTTAAATAAAATAGTTAAGATAAGGAATAATATCATAAAATATCTTTAGTCGTATACTTTTAGGCTTTCAGACTGATAATAGACCTATATCTAATTAAAATACAAGTTAAAAACTGTAATATCTTTGAAGGTTTTAAAATTATCATTGCTTTATTTTATATTAAATATCATTAAAAGCATTTAAAGTTCAAAAATTGACAAGATATGGAAAAATCACGAAAATGATCAAATTATTTTGAGTAAACAGTTCATAAAAATTTTTTTTTAAATCTAAGATTTTAAATGTAATATAAGATTCCTTATAAGATTATCTACATTTATCAAAAAAAAAAAATGTCTATAAGAAAGTCAAATTAAATTTTTATGAGCGTTTGAAATTCAAATTTTTACAACATTGAATATTCACTCGATTTCTCATATTCATTTTCTTGTAATGATTTTGTTGTAATTCAAAAACGAATAATTGTAGATCCATGAAAATTTCACTGAATGGTTATATTAGCATGTCCTATACACCATACAATTTTGAAAATATGTTGACTCTTTTTGAGCTGTTTACGGACATTTTCAGATTTCAATTTTTTTAGTTTTTTTTTCTATAAATATCAATAAAGTTTTATCTCTTGGGTAAAAACGTGTAAAAATTTAATACAAAGCTCCTGATATATTTTCACAATATCAGTTGAAAAGTATTAAAAATACATAGGCACAATTTTTTTTTATAAGCATTTATAGATCTAATTTTAACAAAATTTATCAAACTTAAAATTGAAAGTTAAAAATTTATAAAATGTTCAACTTTTATATCTAAGGATTGAAAATGTAATCAAGGTTCTATGTAAGTATTTAATTATGTTACCAAAAAATCTGAAAAATACACAAGTAAAGTTTATTTTTATAGTCAATTTAAGTTAAAATTTTGACGAAATTACATATTAAAAAACCTAAAATAACTATTTTAGTTATTTTGTTGTGATTGTATAATATTATTTGTGGAAACATGAAACTTCTAAAGTACACTTTTATATATCTATGATAGTATCAGGGTTTGTTGTTGATGTATAACGCGTTATAAGTAACTAATGGATATTGAGATATGATTAATTTGGAATTTATTATAGGTCAATTTTTTTAATACCATAAATGTGTATATGTTATAAACCTAGACTGACATACCGTCTCCGCTCAGAATCGTTTTTCTTATACAATGACATTATGACGTACGTTTGGCCAGCCCCCCCCCCCCCCAATGGAAAATCCATAAATGAATTGCACGGATATTTAGCACGTAATTTGCACGTATTCGCACGCCTAGTTTTGAAATTCGCACGACCCTCCTTCCCCCTCAAAAATCAAAATCCATGGGGGGGCTTTTCGCCAGAAATTCCTCAATTTTTTTCTGAAAATATTTAGCACGCAATTCACATATTTTTTTTTAAACTATAATCTGAACTTTTCCGGCTACTTAGTACTTACCCATTTGTTTTCAAATTATTATTTTTCTTTTTACAATTTAAATTTTTTAAATTTTTTTGCAGGTTTCTAACAGATTTATTGTAGTTTGATAGTTTTTAAATATTAAGGTATTTCAAATTACATTTTAAAAATATATACGTTAAAGGTTACTGCTGGGTAGCTTATCCCCAGTCTTCTCACGTTTTCACAGACAACTTTTATATTTTTCCACTCATCTGCTCATTGTAACTATCATTACAGATTTTGTATATTCAAATAAATGTTAAAAAAAAATACTAAAATATAATATTATGATTCAATGTATTAATAAAATAATATAAAAAAGTAATACTTTAAATAGTTACTAATACTTAAATAGTGTATACTAGTAGTTCAATTGATATTTTTTTATTTTCTTTTATAGGAGTGGGTTTTTTCTTAAGGTCATCAAACAATTGCCAATTCTTAGTTCCCCGAATAGCGTATGCATTATAATGTCCTGATGATGTCCTTAACTTTGATTGTGCCGGTTGAAAACTAATAACTCCTCTTAGCTCATATGTAATGTCGTTGTAGACCAAAAGATTTGGGATATCAGACAGTCGCATTTTCACTTGTTCTGTAGTTTCCGAACTACGATTGTTAGAAACAAGTCCATCTGAAAAAGTTCCATTTATTTTATATAATACTTTTTAAAAATATTCAATATTAGATTATTATTTAATAATTAATAAATTATACTGTTATGATAAACAATATACCTTCCCAATAAAATACATTGATAAATAAATGCATATCTGATATATTCGGCATAATTTCTTCAACTCCCTTACAAACAATTTCTGAATCCATGTATTGACGTATTGATTGTACAGATTTAAGTTGACTATCGAGAAAACCTTGCAAGTCTTTTATTTGTCCATTTTCCGTCTGATACGATAAATACCTTATACCTCATAATTTACAAAATAGATTGTACTTTTACTAAATTAATATTATACAATGCCATATTATATTGTAGACACTCAATATAAAATTGTTTGATATATCTATATGATACAAAGGTGGGAATATTTTTAACAACTAATTATTAACATAGGTCAGGTCAGTGATGCAAAACGAGCTTAAATAATAAAGATGACACTAATATTGTTCTATAGAACACTGCTGTCTTCACGAAACTCGGAAAAAATGTAGGTGTATCGTTTGTATGCACGTTAGCGAAGACTGTCACACAAGCTTAGTATATTTTATTTTAAAACAAAGAAACATGTTTCTGACCTGAAAACTGTGAATGATCTTTAATTTATAAAATATAAATTATTACCTTTTAAAAAGAACAGCGCCGGGCAGTACATACTACCTATGTGCCATTTTAAATTTATTAAACCGAATAGCACCACTTTATATATCATTTAGAGTAATTCCAACGTATAAGGGTAACATATAGAATCTACTAGCGCATGCCAGCATACCTCAAAATTTAACGGTAAAATTCTAATTTATTTTAGAAGTTGTCATTAGCTAGAGAATAAGAGGATATTGTCGTCGTAAGTTTTAGCGCGTGTCACTCTATACGAGTTATATAACATATACAATAATGTGTTTATAAAATAATAATAATTACACTCCTATAAAATAAAATAAAAAAATATCAACTGAATTTCTCTGCAAAAAAAAAATTGCGAAAATGTTGATTTATACTATGGGGGGGCTGGCAAGACGTGTTGCCCCCCCTTTGGATTTTGATTTTTGAGGGAGAAGGAGGGTCGTGCGAATTTCAAAACTAGGTGTGCGAATACGTGCGAATTACGTGCTAAATATCCGTGCAATTCATTTATGAATTTTCCATTGGGGGGGGGCTGGCCAAACGTACGTGATATTATGTCATTGAATTCAAATTTAATACCATCCATTATACAGTGACCTACTTGTAACCTACTGTACAGCAGAGCACCTTTTATATATCGAACTTAAATTAAAATGTAATTAATATGGTTTATTATTTACTTGAGCAGAAATTCACTTACAGTAAAGTTTACTTTTTTTAAATTTAAATAGTGTTTTTTGAAGAAAAAAATAGCAGTTTTATAATTTCGTCTTATTGTAAGGAATGGGTAAATAACTTGACCGATGTTATAATGTATAATAGGACCAATTTCTATTATTAAGTAGGTAAGTTGTAAGTAGGCTGTAGGCACTAATATTATAATATATGGATTATGAACATCACTTTTTATCTATAAATATGCAATAATAATAACAATCATAACAACAGTCACAAATAAAATTCAATATTAATTTAATTAAATTGGTTATGAATATTATAAACATAGGTACCTATATTTAATAAACTCTGCATGGACAGTAATAGTTGATAGTTGAATAGTTAATAGTTATAAATAAATACTATATTAGGTGTATAAATAGGTAATAATATGACAACGTTCCTCATTAGCTGGTGTTAGTAGAAAATAGTTTAGCGAAAAAGTTTAGAGTGTATGCATAATAATATTAAATGAGCGCATGAAGTTAAAATGTTGGAAAAAATACATTAAAACCACGAAAATTAGCACATTATCTGAGTTAAAAATCCATGAAAATGTTTCTGTTTATCTAAAATTTTAAATTTGTATACAAGATTCATCTTAAGTTTTCCTACATTTAAAAAAAAAAGTTTAGTGAAAAGTCAAAACAATTGTTTAGGAGTGTTTGATGTTAGACATTGGATTTTCACCCATAAATTAACAAATTCACATTCAACGATTTTCTTACTTAGTCGTTATTCAAAACTATTAACCATATAAGGTACTTCAGTACTTGAAATTGTCATCAAATATTTATTTTTATCATTTTCTATACATGACACAATTTTCAAAATATTTTGACTCACTTTGAGTTATTTATAGACATTTTAAATTTTGTATTTCTTTAGTTTTTTATTTTATATATTTTAATAAAATTGTATTCGTTGGGTCAAAAAGCATGAACATTTAATACAAGGTTCCTTATAATTTGTTATAATAAAAGCTGGGGGGATGGAGTGGCCGGCAGACTAAGGCGTCGGTTGCGACGAACACCAACGACGGTTCGATACCTCGGCAATGGGCAGCATTTTTCTTCGGGCAAGTCAAGGTGTCCGGAGAACAAGTGCCGCCGTCCCCCATCCGAGCATAGCAGATATTTACGGGGGCCCAAATCAAAAGTTCTGCCAAAACAAACACACACGTGTACCCCCCTACCAACAAAAAACAAAAAAAAATTAAAACAAATTAAAATAAAAGCTGATAAAGATACAAAGGCACGATTTTTTTTTAAGTATTTTAAGTTAAAACTTACTGTTGTTAAAAAATTATAAAATGTTCAATTTTTATAGCTGTAACGAGCTGTGACTACGCATATATTAATAATAGTAATAATATATTATATTATATTGTATTAGGTAAATATATTATAATATATACAGTAGACGCCGCTTATAAGACTCACGGATATTAGGTTCAGTTGCTTTATTAGACTCAAAAACGTCTGGAACGGTCCGGACGTATCTAAATACATTAAAAAAAATCGGTTATAAGACTCAACACTTCGGTTATAAGACTCAAATTTTGTAAAATAAATAGTAGAAAATAAACTTTTTTGGTTATAATTTAGAAATAAATTGGTATTGAAAAATTAAATAATATTCGTGTTGATTTTTTCTAGTTTCTGGTAGTACCTTATAACGTATAATAATTTTTATCGCAGATAAAAGGTCATATATTCGAATTTCAACGCGTGCTTTTCTTGTTGTTAACATGAGTGCTAATCTAACGCATTTTCATCTAACATTTATAAATACGTAATAAATTGTTTTTTTCCACTTCGCCTATAAGATTCATTCGGTTATAAGACTCACTTTGTGCTGGTCTCAAAGTGAGTCTTATAAGCGGCGTCTACTGTATATTATTTTCAATAATAGACATAAATGCTGCAGGGAGCACGTAACCCCAGTAACAGTAATAATATCAGCATCCGGGCGGCCACATGATAAGAGTACAGAACTAATTAATGGTACAGCGCGAACACGTGATAGATATACGAGTGCAATATCCATATTATAGGAAAGACGAAAAAGCCATAAAAAGTACAAATAGATGATTTTGGA